AGAGGCACTGAGTTTTATAAATATGAGCATGATAGTGTAGAATAATCATATCCAAGGACCAGTGGTGAGTTTCAAAAAAGTTTGGAACCTCTTCTGTAGGTGTGGCCTGCTTTCCGCGTCCACTGGTGGAACCTCTTCTAACCGGTTCAGTAGATTTGATGAATCAGTTCTACCGAATAAGTGCGAACTGGTAGGAACCCACCTCTGATACAAGTCCAATAAAGCTAACCTAACCTAACCATATTGGAGTGTTGGGGCCATACCATGCTTCTCTCACATCTTGCTTTACAAAGTCATTACCTTTGTCTTTAGCTGCCTAATGTTACCATTAAGTTTGAAGGGGTGGCAATGACTGAGGCAAGGCAGTGACTCGGATAACTAGGCTTTATTACAACAGCTAACGCAACAGCAACTCTAGAACCAACAAGCTTGAACAGTTCCCGCTTGACAGCAGGCTGACCCCCGGGTAGCCAATCACTGCGCAGTAACTTTCCCGCTCTTGCCACGCGTGTGCCTCGACCAATGGCGAGACTCGGAGACGGAGCCACGTCTAAGACATAACAGTTACATGTAGTCAATTGAGTTTCATGCAACAAATAATTGTGATGGAGAAATGGTGTTCACCTTAAGGGACACTGCAACCTAATTTTTGACAGTGAAGACATCAAAGTGTGGGATAACCTCTGCCTTTTAGGATCAATCATCAACAGCAAAGGAACAATCAATGAAGAAACAGACTAGCCACTATAGAACAGCCATGAAAGCTTTGGAAGAGATACCCTAATGTGTATATGGATAGTCCTTGACTTACGATCACAACTGAGTCCAAAATTTCTGTTGTTAAGCAAGAGGGTTGTTAATTGAGTTTAGCCCCATTTTATGAGCTGTCTGGCCACAGTTGTTAAATGAATCTGGTTTCCCCATTGACTTCGCTTGTCAGAAGGTCACAGAGGTCATTATAACTGTCGTAAATGCATGCCAGCTGCTAAACATTCAAATTTTGTCCACATGACCGTGGGAATGCTCCAATGGTTGTAAGTGTGGAAAAACAGCCATAAGTCACTTTTTTCAGGGTTGTTCAGAGTGTGCTAAAGTACTATATAAGTCTAAATGCTATTGGTATAACTTTGAACAGTCACTAAATGAATGGTTGTAAGTCGAGGACTACCTGTATACCTTCAAAACTCAGAACTGTGCAAGTGATGGTATTCTTTGTGGCAATGGAAATGAAAGGTGGATAGGCAATATTTACATTTTGAACCTTTTGCGTTGTTGGAAGAAAAATCCAGGTCCAGTTACAAGACAAGAATAAAATGAAGGCTGCTTAAGAAAGAAAGTTCGGTTTATTGATGGTCAAAACTGACACACACACACACTGGGACAGCTGGCCAAATGGAGTTGAGAGTGGGTAGGTTTTTATACCTTCTTTGGGCTTTGTATTTGAGCTTCCTGTTTCTGTGCAAGAACACATCTTTTAATATTCTATTGGCCATTGTCAGATTCCTATGGGGTCATGTAGGGGTCATGGCTGACTCTATAGGCAAAAGAGGAAATGCAAATCCTAAGTGTTTGTCTGAGCTAATCTTGTCAATCTTTGGCTTGCCTATTTGAGTGGCTCATCTGGAGTCTTTGTCTGACCCAGTCTTTCTGAATGGATTACTAAATCTGCATTTCTAAAAGGTGGCCTCCTCAGTTTCTGCTTGGGGCAGGGAGACTGTCTCCCTTAAGATTTTTCCCCATTTCTCCTTTAGGGGAAATAGTCTATCCTGCCTTTTTAATATTGCCCAAAATATTTCATTCTCTAGGAGGATGGGTGGGTGCTGACTTTCTGACAGTATTGGAGAAGAGTCCTCAGAATATCCACACACAGCCAAGAAAACAAGATGCATGGCTCAATTACAGTGACGATGAGGCACCAATGAAAGATCTGAATGACAGCTCATTATGGAGAAAGCTATGTGACAGGTGTCTTCAAACTTTGAAAATTTGTGGAATTCAACTCCCAGAATTCTTTAAGCAGCCATATTGGCTGAGGAATTCTGGGAGTTGAAGTCCACAAGTCTATAAGTGGCCAGGTTTGCAGACTTCTGCTATGTGATCACTAAGAGTCAACAATGATTGAATGATAAGTAATCAATCAATTAATTGGGGTATTTTTTAGAGTAGCGAGTTATAAACACTGGACTCATACTCTGCATTTTGAACTTTTGTAGAAGCCAAAAATGGCACCAACCAGTTGCTCATTTCCCCCTTCAGATAGATTCAGAGAAAGGCTGATCGTTTTCCATTTCTACCCGGGATCCAACGCGACTATTCTCAGCCGCTAGATGGCGCAAGAGACTCGCAGACGCAAAGTAGTTATAAGAGGGCGTGGCTTGAGGGAGACTGCCGGGCGAGGATTGGAGCGCTGGAAGCAGTGGGGCGTGGCTAGCGAGCCTAACAGTGTATGGCTTTTACGTCATTAGATAAACATTAGTGTTTAGAAATGACGGAGGGGCATCGCTATTAGGAAGGAGACGCTTTGTGGCGCCTACGAGCCGGGAGTGGGCCTGGCTGTTTCCCGTAAAGGAAGGAGTTCATCTCCACCGTCCAATCAGAAGAAACAGGGGAGGAGGGAGAGGGTGTGGCTCCTGTGCGCCCACTACGTTCGAAGAAAGAGGCGTGGTTTCAGCGTGAGGAAGGGAGGGCGCGGGGAGGGGGCGCTGGGGTAGAACGGTTGGTTGCCATGGGTTCGCTTCCGGCGCTGCCAGGCGGAAGTGGCTGGAATTCTGGTGCTGCTTGGTGTCTGTCGCCGTCGCCGTCGGACAGTGTAAGCGAGGCGGGGGGGGGAGGGTGAAGACGGAGCAGGCGGGAGTCCCGTTTTTTTCCCCCTTGGCCGCTCGCAGGAGGGAGGGCAACAACGGCTCCCAGGGGGAGAGAACGTGACCGAGGCAGTTTGGGGGAAGAACCTGGAGGGGGCGCGGGGCTCGTGGACCTCGGGAGGACGCCAGTTTTTCTCTCCAGATAACCACCGTCTTATTTCATAAAACCTATGGCGAGGTGAAGGAAGACCCCAACCCCCAGCGTTGCTGAAGAGAGGAAGGCCGAGATAACGTTCAATTTTCCAAGGGGAACCCATGAGGAAAACTCCTAAAAGATGGGTGCATAAAGCAACCGCGGCATTTATACCGTAAATAGGAGAACATGAGGAGCTGCCTAATATTGGGCCAGAGTATTGGTTAATCTAGGCTAGTATTGGCCTTTCTGGTTGGCACCTGAGATGTCAGTGGAGATCTCTCCCAGACTGGTTTTTGGGCAGGGTATGAGGGGATGAGTGACTGGGTGTACACTATAGATGCAGTGGCATCCCCTATATGAGGAGATAGTGAGGGGGGATGATTCTTTCTTGCCTTCACCCTGGAGGTGAGGTGGCTGAGCAACTCTGTGGCTTCCATTTTTGGGTCATGAGAAATGTCTTTGCTGAGCCTAACGTATTAGATTTTGTTATGGAAAGCAAAAAAGAAACCTGGATAAAGGGAAAACATTGAAGCCCAAAACTCTACTTCTGGATTTAGCAGTTACTGGTCAAAGCATGTGGCAGTAACTTATTCCAAGATCAGAAATGTTTTCTAATCTAGATTTACATGTTATGCAGGGCATGGTGGCCGAGCCTGGAACAACTGGAAGAAGACCCTGTATGGATAGTTTAAATCCAGAACAATTGTGCTTATTTGTTTTTGCCTTTGAAGACTACTCCATGGACAGATTTAAGTTTGAAGACAAGATCTGAGGAGTCAGCCAGGATATGACAATGGGACATTGTGCCTTGTGCACTCAACAGTACACATACTGTAGAATGGACATCTACGTTATGAGATGGAAAATTCTTTAAAAACCTTAAAGACTTGAAGGGAATTACCTTGGGATCAGGAAACCAAGTCACAAACCCTGAAGTAGTGGCTGGGATTCCACAAATACTTTTTCATATTTCCGGCATAAGATCTATCTAGGCAGTTAAAGAAACATCACTCATTTTGCTTTACCTGTTTGCACTGATCCTTCAAGAAGCAGCTTGGAAGGGGGAGGGGGTGCCAAGAGCCCCCCCTCCCCCAAGAGAGGGTTTTTGGCTCTCCATCCTACATCTATGGAACAAGGATGTTTACCAGGTGAGATTTATTTTAGTGGAATGGGATTGGGTATAATTCATTTCAGATACTTTATAATGTTGGAAGAGCGTGGTTGCATGTCAGTGTTCAGATCCATTTTTGGCATGTTTCATACAATTATTTTAAATTTGTGGTCCTAGGAACAGAACCTGTTAACAGCCAATTTCTTCTCTTTAGATTTCTTTTTGTGTCTAATTTTCTTCTAGTATATAAGGTAAGGTAAATTGATTGATGTTTGTTTGGCTTTCATTTATTTATTTTTGGGCAGTGTTTCAATTTAGCTTCACAGTTCTTTAAATATTTGAAGTTTCTGGTAAAAAGCAGTGTTTTAAAAAAATGTTGCCAGCACTTGAATATTTGCATATAGAACTTGGGCCTCCAAAAGATAGCAGTAATTAGTGCAAGAACAGGTTTTATGGTCCTATGGCATTAGTTTGTGAAGAAATTTACACCTTCCCACAGTTTCATAAAGGAACTTCAGGGGAATCCAGGAATTGGGGCTATATAGGGCAGACAAAGGCCATATATAAATTTTGCAGAACAAGCCAATAATATATAGGATAGTTACATTGAATACTAATCATACATATTAGTCCATGTGGATTCTTTTAGGATGATGATGAGCCATTTGATAAATATTTTCAGGACCAATGTAGCTCTAATTCCTGGAAACTAATATGAAAATATGTTCCTATTCATATGTTTTGGATCATACCAGATTTTATAATCATTTGTACTGGGAAAAGGTGTGAATAGGACAATGCCCAGTATTGATCCTGCCTTTTCTCAAGTGCAGTTTTAACCCCATTTGACTAGAGTAGCTATCCTGGTATGGTAGTTATATCATGAGTTAGGTAAAGGTCCCCTCGCACATACATGCTAGTTATTCCCAACTCTAGGGGGTGGTGCTCATCTCCATTTCAAAGTCAAAGAGCCATCCCTGTCCGAAGACGTCTCTGTGGTCATGTGGCCGGCATGACTAAACACCAAAGGCACACAGAACGCTGTTATCTTCCCACCAAAGGTGGTTCCTATTTTTCTACTTGCATTTTTAGATGCTTTCAAACTGCTAGGTTGGCAGAAGCTGGAACTGCCAAGTAATGGGAGCTCACTCCATTATATGGCGCTAGGGATTTGAGCTGCCAACCTTTCTGATTGACAAACTCAACGTCTTAGCCACTGAGCCATTGTGTCCCTATATCATGAGTTAATGCACTCTTAAAATAATCTTCAACATCTTGCAAGTAAAAGCTGTTATGTATAAACTATATCAGGGTTTTTTTAGTTTATGTTTGTGTAATTTGCAGTACTCTGATGCAAATATATTTTGACCAAAGATTTAAGCACCCTTCTTTATAGGGATCCTGATAATACATGTATATTAAAATATCTGCATAATTTATTTGAAGCGTAGCAAGTTTCAGAAGAGCCAGTAATTCTCTGAGAATTGAATGTGGATTTCTTCTCAATCATTCCAAATACTGAATTGGGCAGTTATTTTGAACTGGAATAGGAACATGAATGATAAACTTAATTTATTCCATTTATATGCTGCATGATTTCAGATAACTCCGGGCATCTTACATTATAACAACAATAAAATATAGTATGAATAATAAAATACTACAAAGGACAAGAAAGATGTTCCAAATATACTGGATGTGCCAAAATAAAAGAGTCTGTGTAGTTTTTTTTTCTATCAGTAGTACAGGGAAATGATAAATGGTATGACCTTAGCCAGCAAGACTAGGAACTGTGGTAGACCTCCAAGACATCAAGCTCTCCTAAGTAATTTATTATCATATAATATTAAATTAATGAAACATGAAAAGGGTTCCAGTGACCTCCATATCAAATACAAGCTCAGTTGATAATGAAATCAAGGTTCAAATTTCTGTGCCTCTTTCTCTCATGCGTCCACGTTAATAGGCTAGAAGCCACTTCCTTTTGATTAGGAGGGACAGATTCTACCGGGCCTAGATCTGTTTAATGGACTGATCTCTTATCAGTCTCTTTGCCACTAATCATTTGAGACTCTGTTTCACAAATGGTCTACAGCCGTGATTGCGAACCTATTGCACGTGGAGCCATCTCTGCGGGTACGTGAGCTGCCACCCAGGTCAGCTCCACTGCACATGTGCGCGCACCTCCTGCCAGCCAGATGATTTTCAGGTCTCTGCTGGGAGACGCGACTGCATGCAGGGGGGGGGTCGCCAGCGCATGGGGAGGTCACGTGCATGGGGTGAGATGATGCGGTGTCCCCCTGAGCCCCGTTTTTGTCCCAGGAGGCTTCAGGGAGGCCTACTAGCACCAAAATGGGGGTTCCTCATGCATGCAGGGGGAGTGCAAGAGGATCGCGCACACATGTGCATAGGGCGGGGTCTGCAGGAGGATTAGATTATGGGTGTCGGGTCTCTGCGCGCGCTTTTAGACCCTGAGGAAAAAAAGGTTTGCCACCACTGGTCTACAGCATAACTGATGAATTGATATACTGAAGTAATTGATTTGAGTAATCAGACATATGCAGCCTCTGTGTTTAAATGCAGTATATGTATGCTATAGTACACGCTCTGTACATGTTGACTAACAAATCAGTGATGCTGAATTTGCTTCCATGATAATTGATCAGGCTGGTCCCCCAAAGGAGGTTTTGGCTCACCTTTCTCAGATGAAAGTCCTTGACTTTCAACCATTCATTTAGCGACTGTTTGAAGTTACAGTGGTGCTGAAGAAAGTGACACGCGACCAGTTCTTGCACATACAACCACTACAACATTCCCATGTAACCAGAATTCAGGTGCTTGTCAGCCAATATGTATTTGCAATCCTGAGTCATGCGATTGCCATTTCCAACCTTCCCAACTTTGCTAACTAAGTCAATTGGGGAAGCCAAATTCACTTCACAATGTGGTGATTCATTTAACAACCCTGACAAAAAAAGGTTGTCGTCTTTAGCAATGAAAATTCAAGGACTATCTGTATGGTGAATACAGGACTTCCCCTACCCATGACTCTGCTTCTAATTATATAATCAGAATAAGAATTCTTACTTATATTGTTCTTTTAAGTTGCTTTTAATATTGATTTTTTTTTCACAGAGGGGTGTAAAAGCTTGTGAAGAAATCATGTCATCTTTTTAATTTTTACTAGTATTTTTAAAAGAAACGAGCAAAAGGAGAAAAGAAAAAAATCAGAGACATATGTGAGTGTACAAAATAATGATTAAGATTGTACAGTTAGTGCTCAGTATATATTTGACTAGAGATCAACCATAAAAAACAAGTTGCATTTAAGTACATAACAGAATACATAACAGAAGGAATTTTGATATCGAGTTAAGTCTAAAATCCACTATTTGTTCTTTAAGAATACAAAGAATACCTTCTGAAAAAAGTATAGATAAAGCATTAGGTTTTAACTATTTGTCATACTTTGCTTAACATACAATATTTGTAGACATTTTAAAAAGTTAATTGAAATTGGTTCTTTTTCCTCTTAAAAGTTGTACTCTGGATACATATATTTTACTTACTGTGCTGTGCGCAATATGTAATATATGTGGGGCCCATTTTTGCTTAAATTTAATTAAACTTCTGTTGTGAATATATGCTGTTACTTTTGCTATTATTGCATATTCTCTCAAATTTAAGTTTCCACTCTGATATTTTAGGTAACACATCTCTTTTTCAATGTTGGGCTAAATTTATCCTTGCTGACATAAATAGTATCTTAGTGATTGTTTTTGTTAACATTTTGGAATTATGCCTAGTAAGAAGAATTGTGGTTAGATGTCAAATCTGATTTCCAGAATTCTCTGAATAATGCTGTGTGTTTCTTTCCAGTACTTTGGGGGCTTTTACATGTCTATCGCATTTGGTAAAATGTTTTTTTCAGGTTGATGACATTTCCAATAATTACTAGTCTATGATTTGTCAATGTTGATAATTATTGACAGAGTTGTATACCATCTATAAAAAAAATTGTATTGGTTTCCTCATAACTTACAACCTAGAGTAAATGTTATATTCCATAATTCTTCCCTTTGTTGGTTTGTGAATGTTTTTTTTAAGGTTTAAAACATTTTATGATGCAGTTTTTTTATTTTTTTTATTTTTTGAGCTCATATATACTGTACATCCTAGTAAATTGCCTGGATTCTGTATGAACATTTCAAGTTCTGTCTTATTTCTTAGAAGCCCCCCTCATTTTTTAAGACACTTTAATTCTTCCAGAATAAAATGAAGAATTCATGTGTGATCCTAAAGAGTCTCTCTCCCCACACACACACCCCTCCCCTCCCCCGGTGGCTTGTCAATTCAGTATGAGGATATATAACTACCTCATTTTCATGAAATTGGGATTAACCATTTTGGCTCAGGTATGAGTCACATGTGGATGGATCCAGGAAAAGCTCATGTGTCAACAATGACTTGTCTTCAAGAAAATCTCTCTTACTATCAGAACTGCAGGGGGAAATGGCTTCTTTGTTTTTCTCAATCTGACGAGTTATTCAGTTCTTCCAGGGTTGCTAAATAATCATTTGTGTTTTTATAAGAGTGCCTTTATTCTATAGCAAAACCACGGCTCCAGGAAGAAATCACTGTGTATTTTAAATAAATAAACATAACAATTTAGTAAACTGCCAAAAGAAAAGCTTAATGGCCTTTACAAGAATGATATCAGCTCACTGGGTTGGCTAATGGCCTATTCTCAAACAGAGTCTAGGAAGCAATAGACAAAATATGAAGATATTTCCCCCTGATCAGCAAACGGTCAGTTATACTGCCTTCATATGTGATAACTTCCATTTAGTTATCAAACTAAATGGAAGTAATCACATATCATCTGATATGTCATCTGATGGTGATTTTTGTGGGGAAAATAGGAGGAAGGAGTATTAGATACGTTTATAGCCTTGAGTAATTTATAAAAATAAAAAGGGTGGGATGTAAATAAAATTTAAATTTATAAATTGACTGATCTTTACTTTTGTGATGAGC